CTGCGGTCCTGTCCCTTGCTACGGCTCCTTCGCCACGCCTGTGGATCGCCTGAACAGCTTCCAGGAGCTCAGGCGGCAGCAAGGAGGACAGAAGTGATGGATGTCCCACGCTCATGGCTTCGGCTACGAACTGCTCAGGTGTTCGGCACACCCCTATGACCACCTTGACCATATCTTTCCTGGATTTGGGATCCATTAGGGCATCCTCTTTGGATAGGGGGAAACCTAACTGTCTCAAACAGGCTTGATCTGAAGGAGTCAGAAGCTCAGGCCCTCGTGCCACGTAAGCAACCACAACATCGCGGCGGCCTGACCAAGGCAAGGTGGCATGCAGCCTGCGCCCATCAAACCTAAACCCCCTCCTATCTAAAGGGATCCTAACTCCCATAACCTTCTTCCCTTTGAAGTCCATGGCTGTGTCCCCTTCTGGGTCCTCCATCCGGAGACCCCCTTCTTCAAAGGAGGATAAGGCCGCTATGGCATTATCAGTGGAAGCTTCGTTGTTGGAATCCCGGTGTGGAATTGCACAAACGTCCCTGAACAGCCCAACGGTACCAAAGGTGAAGGCTGGAAAGATTTGCTTCACGTATGTACACATGGCTTTGGCTGTCTCACGGAACTTAAGGGTGCTGGACCGAACCCCTCTGATTCCCCCGTGGACAAAACTGCCAACTTGGAAGGATTTAGCGGTTGGCTGTGAATCTCCCGACCACCTGAGGTTTTCAGAAGGCAGTAGGTCCAACAGGAGAGACAGGTCTTTGGCTGCCACCTTGGCTTGTTTGTTGACAAGAGTCGCCACTGTCTCCGGATCACCTGACCGCATGGCCATCCCATCTGCCGGGTCCAGCCCTGCACCTACCTCGCACGGGCTTGCTGGGGGTTTAGAGCATCCCTCTGCTGAGGGGGCGTGCACACACGGGGGGTCCCCTGGGTCTAACCCACTAGAACCCCTAAGACCCTTGAACCTTACCGGGCCCTCCTGCTCCCCTTGAACCACATCGGCACGGAGGACTCTGCTACCTGCCGGAAAAGATGGGATCGGTGGTTGACATGACACAGATGGGCCGACGGCCCAAGCAGCAGGCAGTTTGTAGCCTGGTGCCAGGAATTTGGATGCAAAAGGCAGGGGCAAAATCACCGAGTGAACGGAGGCAAACTCACTGATCAGGGGCGCAACCTTCTTCCTGCTTTGCATGCCTGAGAAGGCTCTAGCTCCAGGAATGGCGGCTTGAACCTCGGATAATTGTTTTGGGGCCGGCTGACATCCCAAGCCGAGGAAATGCTCTTTGAGCAGGCTTGCCATGACTTTGCACAAGCCCCATGGATAGGCTGTCTCGAAGGAAGTGGCCCACTTATTTCTGACTCTGCCCCAGCCAGCATGGACATGATTCCCTGAGCAGAGGCGGTGAAGGTTGTCGAACGTGACAATGTTATGAAGGAGACGGGTGCCTTTGCGACGGTCGCCTCCATATTCACAAGGATGGAAAAATGTTTGACGGACGTCCGTATGACTCATGAACTCTTTCCACTCTGGCAGCAACCAAAGGTAGCTCCGCGATGGATGCTCACAAGAAAAGTACTTATGGTTTTGAAGACAAAACTTGCATATGTTTAGGACCAAGCTGTAAAGGGCGTTCGCCTTTGCAACACGAATTGCATTGACCCCGTCTAGTCCCTCTATCCCTTGTGGCCTGGCTTCTGTGCGTAAAACTGCTGGCGCACCTGGGAATTGGATGTCTCTTGCTCTTGCGGCAGTCCCACATGGTGGGGCGCAGTGGATGTACTTTACTGCGGGGTCGGAGATGATTCTCCACAAGTGCTCCACACTTTGCGGGTCATTAAGGTCTAATTGAAGGATAGAACCAGAGGCCTGCTTAGAGACTACATGGTCAACCCCAAAGCTATCAAAACCCTCACATCCGAGTGCCGATGTGAGCCTGGCACTGCCTGCAAACAACTCCACACAGACTACCCCACTGAGGGGAAGGCCGGACAAGAATTGCTTAGCGGCTTCATCAAAACTGGATCTATCAGCTGCGGCTGCAGCAGTGCATACAGTCGACGGAAGGTCTAGTCAGGAATGCTGTTGCAAGGAGTGGGGCTTCAGACAGCCCGGCTCTGCACACAGATGCAAGCCGCGGGCACATTTTCCACCCGGCTTGGCATCGGCGCATCCACATGGCAGATTAAAGCTCCAGCAAAGCCTATGACCTTTGGGGGTCTGATGCAGCTTGCCAACCAGCTCCTTGGGCACCGAGAAATTGGTCTTCTTGACAGCTCCCGGACCTCCTGGCTTCTTGGCGAATTTCTGGATCTTGGGCCCCCGCAACGTAGCGCCTGCATCGGAACCTGGCCGTTTCCCTTCTTTTGCGGACTCTGCGCTGGAGCTGCTTGACAGGGGTAGCGGCAAGAGGTGGTAAGCCACTGACGGATCTAACAGGATGGTGCTACGAATGCTGTCCAATGGCAACTGACCCCCTGCACTGCGCTTAAGTGTCGTGGTCAACTCTGATGCTCTGAGGAACACTGCGCGGTCTGCTCTGATGAGCTGTTGCAGGGATACTTTAGAGTACCCCGGCGGCGGGGGTTCTTGTAACCTTTGCGCAAGCGCCTGGTGGTACTTATTGATCGTATTAAAGGTCGCGACCCCGATCAAATCGACACTAAGGCGCGCCTGCGCAGCGCCATCACAATATCAAGTTCAGTGGCCAGGGAGCACACTGTGGTAGTCTGCTTTTCCTTGACGGCGATGCCGGAGCCGTCTATGATCAACTCTCTACCCTGCTTCTTTGCGCTGATCTCGGATCGTCTGGTCCCAAATTTTTCGGGTGACAACCACACCAGATCGTCCTTCTGAATCATCGTGTAAACGAGATTATATGCATCATGGGCAACTTCTTCCTCGCCTTGGAAGCTGAGGCCTCCCAACCTAAGCTTTTGGGCCTCCAGGCGCGTTTCTCTCTCTGCCCCATTGAGAGAGATGGGCGCACTGTCGTCGGGCTTTTCCACACGCTGCTTTAGCTCTGAAACTATGAGAGTGTGAGCTTCGAAGATAAGACGCTTCAGGCCTGCCACAGCTCCTTGATTAGAAGCGCGTGGTAAGAGGCCCGTGACCGCCGAGTCCTCCGGAACCTTCCCTGGTGGGACAAGGCTGAAAGCCAACTTGGACAAAGTGTCCACATGAGCGGCCACCAAATGGTCCACCTCAGTTTGCGCAAGCCCGACTTCCAATGCCCTCTTCACGAAGGCGGCCTTAGATTCAGTAAATGAAATCGGAATCGACGAAGCTGCCATGGCCTCCTAAGATGTGCTCTATCTTGATCAAAACTTCACACGCGGCACTTTCACACTCAGGTAGCAAGAACTGTGCTGACCTCCAGCGTCAGCTCTGCAAAAGTTTGAAATTGCTACTAAGGACAATCTCTCACTCATGTTGCAAGAACTGTGCTGACCTCCAGCGTCAGCTCTGCAGAACATCGAGTTGTTACTTAACTTGCTGCCCCATCCTTGCGACACTTGCAAGACTCACCTGGCTAAAGCGGCAGCACACTTACGCTCTCACATCGGAGCACTTTCTTGGCGCCGCCCCGGGAACATCCCCGCTCGGACGAACTAAGGCAAACCTCTGCCTTAAGACTTGATCCGGCAACACTTCGCTACCGAGACCGAAGACCTTCGTCAATCATGGAGGTCAGTGCTCCAACATCTCGCAAAGGCTTGCTCTTTCTGCAAACCTCGCACAACCTGGAAGACAAAAATGCGCTTTCTGTGATGCGCACATAGTCCGAAGTGTGCTTTCGTCCACAAGAAAAATTATTCTTCAGGGAACCTGCGGCAAAGGAGTGAATGGTCAAGGTCTTTGGGTGCTTCCAAAACTCCAAGTCTGGCTCCACTGGCTTTGCCGTGGGCACCACCTTGGACAACTCTGGGCATAAGTCTCCTACCCAGTCTTGCTCCCCATCGCTGACCTCAGTCTCACTGGAGGATGAACTAGAGGAAGATCCCGTGCCTCTTTCGGAATGACTGCCACCTATGCCTGCTGCTTGAGGGGCCTCGGCATTGTCCTCACTGGGGGAAGGCAACACTTCCTCCAAGAAACTCTGCGCCTTGGGCAATGGCGACTCAGCCATGGGGGCGTAGTACTCATGCTCACTATCCGTGCGACCCCCAGGTGCATCTGACAGTGCCTCGCTGATGGGTTGGATGGAAAAACATGCCGCTCCTCCGGAATGACTCTTCGGAGGTCCTCCCTAGGCGCATGACCTGGCACCTCGGCCGACTCGCTGGCTCTGGCCTTGAACATCCCAGACCTAGTTGAGTCCGGCAGAAACAGCGCATGTCTTATTGACAAAAGCATTTGCTCGTAAGCACGCAAGGGGGCTGCCAGCTTGTCCCGCATGTAAGAATACATTGACTCTCCTCTCAAGGCATGATGACCTAACAAAGTCTGGTCCTTGTCTGACATGCCATACTTTCCGCACCAATCAAGCGTGGTGCTCTTAAGAGAATGGCCGGACACTCCATCTCCGCAAGCATTGCCCCGGCTTAACACAGCACGCAGCCAACTGCCCGCCTCCGATGATGACACAGCTCGGCCTGTCCACCCTTGTCCCTGCTGCTGAACGGGAGGCCAACTTCCTCAGCAATTTTGATGAACTGCAAGCCCCAGGGAACCGACCTGACTCCATTGACCGGAGCTACCAACGGCATTGATACACCTACTGTTTGTGCCTGCAGAGCTGTTTTATGAGTCCTGGTGGCACACTCCAGGAAACCTACGGCCACTCCTCCCTCCGTCACAACGTCAATGATGAATCCATGAACTTTCCTTATGTCGCTGATCCTGCTGCGAGAGAACAGGCAAAACAGGAAAACTCCGGACGCATATCTATCTACCAACCCAAGCTCCTCGTCCCACAAAGACTCTTCAAGGACCTCAACTTGCCGGACCGTAAGGACAAGCGATGGGCACCTTTCATCCTTCCCGGCTAGAAGCAGACCCTGAAACCCGAGGGCCCATGGGCTGAAGAGCTTACCTGAACCCGAGTCATCGGCACTAACCCCCACCACATACACGGCGAAACGCACCGCTTCCACAAAGGAAGACACCTGACTTGCTTTGGCATTGGTGGCCTTGAGGTGTCTGATGCACAGGTCCGTGCTGGAAGTACTCAAGGGAAACGCAGGCCTGTGCGGATGATACTCGTGCATGAACTTGAGATACTTCAAGAGGGATGACCCCCGCTTGTCCACGGTAGAATGGCTTTTCTTTCCGAAGAGCTCACGCAGCGATAGCATCCCTTCCTTCGCATCCAACCCCACTATAGAGGCACCCACTAAGGAAACCGCAACATACCATTTCTCAAGCGCTTTCTGCCAACATCCCTTCTCAAGCTCCTCATCGGTGGCCTGATTTCTGAAGTTGACACACTTAATAAAACAAGGCTGCTCCTTATCAAAAACCCTGACCCTCTTAGCTGCCTGGGCTTTAACCTCCAAGGGAGCATCTGGTGCCACAGGAATTGGGAGGGGAACCTTGTTGGGACTATCACCCCAAACTACGCTTAAAGGATCCTGGTCAAAAATTGCGCTCAGTCCGGCTTCCTCCCAAGGCAACTTTGGTACGCTGGCTTCTGCGCAAGAAAACACGGCTTGGCTGATTGCTTGTGCCAGGTGCTGTAGATCTGGCTGCTGACCCTCCCCAGGACCCCCTGCACTAGACGCAGCAGACATATTGGCAAGGTTCAGTCAAGGGATTACAAATCAAGGGCTTGCTCACAGTGGCGCACGCGAGCCTCGGCCTCTTCTACGCGGATATGCAATTGTTGGATTTCCAGACGTGCTACTGCCACTTGATGTCTGGACTCAAGGGACAGCTGCGACACGTGAGCAAGATTAACTTGCAACTGTTCGACTGAGTCTTGCAGCTCACTGTTTTTGTCTTGGAGCGCAAACAAAGCTTGCTCAAGGGCGAGGCGGGAATTAGTCAACGCACAACTGACGTCTAGCAAATCTGCGTGCAACGCGCGCACACTGATCTCACTTGCAAGGCTCTCTGAAGGATGGCTGTCAGACATCCGCGGGCGCCCACAAAATGGCACCCGCTTGCACCTACCAAAACTGGTGTTACAAGGCTCAAGGAGGGCCTTTTAGACAGCGGTACAGAACCTTTAGAGCACCTTTGACAAAAATTTTGCTCGACTTTGAGCACACACACTGCATGTTGACAACATGGTCATGCAATCGCAACATGTCTGTCATTTGAAAACAACATGCAGCATGAAATTCATTTCGTGTAGTTCACGAAGTGGGAAAACAAAATCACTGCCCTTGAT